ATAGGTAAATTATAATAATAATGGATATTTCATATTTATCTTTTAAAAAAATTATTTCTTTAAAAAATTATTTTACCCAGTACTAAATATCAAAACGCTATTAAATAATTTTTTACATAAATTATTAATTTATGAATCTAAATTATGGCATTATATTAAAACTAAGATCTGTATTTATTTCAAAATAAATAATATACACAATAAAATAAATAACATACTAATTCAATTTTATATATACACTTATATTCAAAGTAATATAGATTTTAAAATAAAATAATGTAATAAATTCAATGATCAAGTCAATTTTAGAATATTAATTGTTTAATGACAATAGAATTATATAAATTAATAATACATATAATTATAAATACTATAAATTAATAGTGTAAATTAATGTAGAACGAAATTTTCTATATATATAATAATATATTTGTACTATAAGACAATAATAAAATATTACATACCAATCACATTTATACAACAATAAAAAAACTAATACAACTTCAAGTATATATAGGAAAGGGTATTTTCTATTCTATATAAAATAAATTTCTATTAAAATTATTTACCTCATAATTAACATAAATAATATAAAATATATAAAAATTCAGGAAAATATCTATACACGTGTCGTTATACATGGAATTATAATAAAAATGTAAAATAAAACAATATATAATAATAAGTGTAATCCAAAAATATAAAACAGATATTATAAGTTCAACACTAAGTCGTGTAAAAAAATGATAAAAATATAAAAACTAATCCCAAAAATAAATATAAATACAAAATCATTGGTGTATATAAAATCGGAAATCCTAAACCATGTACTTTTGTGTTTATTTATTTATTTCATTAAAACATATTTAAAAACGTATTTACTATAAGATTTTCTATTAATTTATGTAGTATGATTATTAATCTTATAATTATATATAAAATTGCCTTATATTTTATATGTAGTGAATACCGTTTCTGAAATATATTAAAGTGATCAGAACTTATTTATAATTAAAATATATTATTTATAATGTTTATTCTAAATCAATATATTCTTTAAATTTATCATATTTCTACAGTTCTATATTATAATTTTTATGCCTATTTATTTCATCCTTATGTTTATTCTTATAATAAATATGTTATTTTTATATGTAATCACTAGATAATGAACTGTAAGCTATTTTAAATTCTTTGTTATCAATATTCCAACCTAATGAATTATTCTTATTTTTATTTAAATTTTTTGCCAATAAATCATTCATACTTAATTTATTGTATATCCATGCACATAGAGGAGTGAACTAATATGTTAGCATAATAAATATATTTATTCAGTAGTTTTTATTTTGCATTCACTTGAATAATAATATATAAGGCACGTTATTAACATTCTTACAAAAAAAAATTTCATTACTTTGTATAATGACGCACTTAAGGAAATAGCGCCCAGAATAAAAAACCCTATAGCAAAAAGGTATTTAGCTTGATATATATTAGGCGTATTATATACTTGTTCGTAGTTTAATAATGATTTTTTTTAACTCTTATAAGATCGCTTACTATGTGCTCTATTTGATGTGCCTAAATTCTCTTCTTCAGTAGATGTCACTGGATTTGTAACATGATAAGTTACATCCTTTTCTTTTGGAGCAGTATGACCTATAAAAGTTAGAAAATAATGATTCCAGGGTAATTTCTCAGACAAAAATACTTCATTTATCCAATAATTAGCAATAATCATGTTTTTACCTAAAACACATTTTTTTGAGTTTTCAAGAATATCGTTCCATTCATTCCTATTATCTACATCACACATATCTTTTTTTACATTTTTATCATTATATTTACCATTACTGATTTCCCCTAAAATGCAATTAACATGTTCTCTATACATATATTTAATTCTTTTGCAATTACATCCAATGCCATAATATTTGTTTTCCCAAACTGATTCAAGATTACCTTCTATTATATCATTTTTATGATCAACTATTATTCCAGATAGGTTAACTGCTTCAGTTACCAAATCTAAGTAAAAGTTCATTGCGTTGCAGCATTCTTTATACTCAACACTACTTTCACAATACGTTTTTAAATTATTATAACCAATTTTAACATTTCTATTTATATCCGATACGTATTCTTCAACATCTGAGAACTGTAAAATAGAAGATTTAACTACCGATGCTAAACAATGGATATTAACATTCAGAAGTAATTTCCTTATGAATTCATCTGAAAGCAGATTTTCATTCAGAGGAATCTGATTTTTTAATGGAAAACATATAATAATGCATATGTACAACAGATATTTATAAAAAAGAATCAAGGTAATTATAAAATACATAAGAAAATAAAACTCTTTACATACTTCTCTTCCCATTTTTATGAATTCTTCTATAAATATATAATACACAATGGATTAAATAATATATACTTGTTAATAACATATATGTATCTACTGAAATATAAGAAGAAAAATATAATTCAGAATTATTCTTCGTCTATATGGGTCTATAAATAATAATAGTCTTAAATATATATAAAAAAGAATCGTGTCATATAATATATGGATATTAGTTTTATGATCATTTAACTTAGAAACCCGTGTATTTAATAATATTATGTGTAATGAAATAGCAATAAAATAGAGTAAAAGTTGAATTTATTTTTTGTACAATTACTTATAATGAATATTTGTAAATATAATATATTTTACGAACTATATTATGAGTACAATTACATATATATAATACAGATATGTTGTTGTAAAGGTACGGCAACATTTTCATCTTTATATACATGGAAACTTATTTACTTCTTGTATTTTCCTTGTAATGGATTCACAATATTGCACATAAAATTGATTAATCTCAAAATGTAAAAAATATTATTAAAATTAATTAATATCACATGAGGATTTAAGGGTATAATATATTCATACAATTACAAAATAGACAAAAAAAAAATAATAGGGTAACAATATCATAATGAATGAAAGTGAATTTACATTAAGTTATTATAAACACAAATATTATGTTTTACTTATTATAACTTTGATATTAATGATATTATATGTTAAGAATTGAATATTTTTAATAATTCCATTTTTTAATTAATATATATAGGGAGCATATAATAAAATGAGTACAAAAAGATGTATTTTTATTTTGACATATGCATGTGGTACAGGTATGTATTCTAGCAATATAAATGATGTAATAAATTATTTTATAAATACTGTATTAATATATATATAATAATTTATATATTGTATAAATAAAGAAATCTATATGAATTCATTGACATAATAATTAAGCAAAAAAAATTTCTAATAATTAATATAACTTTTCCTTTTTTTTTATACATATAATAATTTCTAGAATATGTACGAAAAAATTTTATCCAAAAGATAAGGTTTTTTCATACACTCAATAAAATGAATTATATAAAGCAAAAAATCTATATATAATATAATTATTTTCGACTAAACAATATTTTTTTAGGAATTTTCATATAATGAATGATTCCCTAAAAAATGAAAAATGTATTATCTATAACATATATAAAGATTCAAATTACAATAATGTGATCATTGAATGTTGCTAGTTTCTATCAGAAATATATAATCAGTACTTTCAATTAATAAGTACATATTTGGAAAAAAATACGATAATTAATTTCTATTTTAAAGGAATAACATAAAAATTATTTATCACACTAAATTAAATTTATATGTAGGATGTAATTGAAAAAAAACATACACCATTTATGCTTTAGTAATACCGTTATCTATATAAGAAAGGAGATAAACACAATTTTAAATTAATTATTTGGTTTATGCAAAGATCGCATTTAAAAATAGCATGGAATATATTATAAGAATTTAATATTATATAAAGTTTAATGTGAAATTATTATGATTTTAATTTAATATTCATAATATATGTACACTATTCATAAAAATTTTTAAAAAAAAAACTTGGGAATATTGGATGAAATATATTTTCCATTTATGTAATGAAAAATTTACGACGGAAATGTTTTCGCATTATGTGATTTAATTTTAATGCATTTACAATAGTTATCCATACATTGTTAGAAATAACATATAGGTTTAACTAAACCTTAGCATCCTTTTTCACAAATAATGTATTTTATAATATGTTAGATTTATTTATACTCTTAATTATGGATAATTTGAGATGTTTTAAAATTATATTCTTAATAATTTATGGATTATTTAATGTATTCATTATATGATATCAATAAATATTATCTAATATAATTATTATAAATTATGATAATTTGCATATATTATTATTTAATTTAATGGGGATTCATTATTAATAATTTATTATTTAGAACAATTTTAATGGATTCTACTATGAAATGAAAATAAATATCTAATTATTTCATATATTTTATTTAATCATATATTCGGTTATATAAATATTACAGATATGTCCATTCTATAACAAGTTAATATTATTGAAGAATATAGACTAAATCTCTTTGCATAGATATACATATGATATAATACTTATTATCATAAATTTGATAATGTTATATATTGTCAAACTTTATAAACATTATATTATTACATATTATAATATATTCTTCTAGTAAAATGATAACATGTAATTCCATATATTATTAATTTGGAATTGTTATACAATTTATTTTTTTTTATAATTATGCGTCAATAATTAAATTACATTTTATGATTTATATATATATTTTATTTACATGATAAATTTATGAAAATTATGTTTCCGTAGTTCCATTAATTATATATATATAT